AACTACTAATATGATGATCCCCGAGTGTGATAGCATTCGCCGTAAAATTCATTTCTCTGAAAACATGGTTCCATTCGACTAACTCGAAGGAGGATGCAAGCCATTTAGGGGGCGTTTGTTTGACCGGATTAGGGGGACTGGACTAGACTAGACTGTAGTCCCTTATTTGGTCCGGACAAGGATTAGGTTTAATGGGACTAAAGGGGACTCGCCCCGACTGAACGTTTCGCTAAACGTTCTTAAAGAGACCCCTCGATTTCAAGCGGACTGCTAGTCCCGTTCTCTTCCCCGCCTCAGATCCCTTGTCGTCTCCCTTCTCCTTCGCATTCTCCTTTCTGATTCACACCTTCGCCCACTCCCTTGGGCCTTCACTATCCCACCCAAAAGCCTAAACCTAGACCTTAAACAAAAACTGAAAAACAATCCACTGATTCCATTCCTTTCTTCTTCGTTCAATTCACTCTCTTTCTCAGCAAAATCGTCATGGTTGCAACCACCAGACGACCATCACTAGAAGCTCGCCGTCGATCTCGGCGTTCGTGCTCGACCTAGACGCAAGTCGGGACCGAAAGTGTACCAAATGCCCAAGTACCAGTTGGGGTTTTCGTTAGTAGTGGGGAAGAAGTTGAGAAACTTGTGAAATTTAGTAGAAAGTTGTGAAATTTGGTATTTGAATTTTGTGATCTGTGAGAAACTTGTAAAATTTGGACCTTATGTTTTTCTGATTCATGAGAAGCATAGGTGGGGTTTGATGGGAAAAGAGGTAGAGGGAGAAGGAAGATAGGCTTGACACGGGATGGAGAGGTGGGGTTTGACGGGAAAAGAGGTAGAGGGAGAAGGAAGAGAGGCTTGACACAAGATGGATGGAGAGGGGGGTTTGACGGGAAAAGAGGTAGAGGGAGAAGGAAAAAGATAAAGTAATAGTAAAATATTAATATATAATAAAATATTAATTATATATATTAATTTAATATAAAATAATATAATATTGCAATTCTGCTTTTTAGTCCGACGCTGCACCAAATACTTCACTAAATCAGTCTAGCTTAGTCTAGTCTAAGCTAGTCCAGCTTAGTCCCTGCAGCTAATCCAGTCCGAGATAGTCCGATGCAATAAACGCACCCTTAATGTCTTGAATAATAGGTCTAATTCTTAAGTGTTGCTTGGGTATGAAAAATTACTTACACAATGTTTGGATGAGAGAAATAAACTTGAAATTTAGATAAAAATCAAAATTTATAAATTGACATGGGTCAAAACTCTTGTTTAGATTCATAAACATAAAAATTTAGAATTTCTGCTTGGAAGAAAACTTGGAATTTGGAACCTCCAATTCCCAAGTTTAAATTTCATGTAGTTAGGTGTCATTTCCCAATTTCTATAAGTGAGAGTTTAAAAATAACCGTATTCAATTTCATTGTTTTTTTAGGTTAACCAAACAAGAAAATTCACAAATTCTAGAAGAAAAAAAAATTATCATTTCAATTTCCATCATTTGCAAATTGTTTAGTAATCTTAAATTTTTTCATCCAAACAAAATGTTAGTATTCCTATCTCAAAGTTGAAGCCAATTAGCCTTAGCCCTTTGAGCCTAGAGGCTCTCTTCATCCCTGTAAAGATTTTAGAAAGGTCTCGTTGATTTTATTTTCCTTCTCAATCCATCTGTTGTTAAGGGGTTCTTCAAACAATTTTCTTGGACAAGAGGAAGTTGATATTGAAGCTCTCTTATCTTTTTGGTAACATTACCAAATGTGTTCTTCCTCCAAGTCTTGGCTTTAAATTTGTAAGTGTTTGCACAGGCTCGGAAGAGGTTGTTAGGGTGGCCCTGAAAGTTACAAACCCAATTGGCTTTAACCAAGTTTTTAAACTCAGGATGGTTAACTGGACCATGGTCTGAACCAAAGAAGGGGAAATTGTGTATTTTGAAGTTAGGGAAATAAATTGATCCACTGAGGGTTGGCAATGGCTATATCTAGCTTTTCATAGATAATAGCGTGGTCTTTGTGACCATTAGTAGGAGGAATTCAACTATATTCCTCCAAGTTTTTAATATATCTATCATTTTTAAATTAGAGAACTGTTATTAGTACTACAAAAATCTTATTTTACACTCCTCAAAAGTGCATTTTATTTCAAATTATAGAAAATTTGAAGTGCAAAATGAGATTTTTGGAGTGCCAATAACAATTCCCTTAAATTAATATGATCAATAGTTCATTAGTAGTGCGAGAAAAAAAAAATAACGCTTGGCAAGTCAAGGATGAGCAGGAACTCCTACTCAAAATTCTTCGTGTCTGACATAAAGAAATTTGTGCTTACAATCAAAACCGTTCATATAATAAGTCATTATGTGAAGATGTTAGATCCCACATCACGCATGGGAGTGGATCCTCTATGCCTTATATGTACATGCTCACCTCCATATAACACGAGGCCTTTTGGGAGTTCACTAACTTTGGGTTCTGTAGGAACTCCGAAGTTAAGCGAGAAAAAGGCCAGAGCATTCCCAGGATGGGTGACCTACTGGGAAGTTCTCCTCGCGTGAGTTCCCAAAAACAAAACCGTGAGGGTGTGGTCGGGGCCCAAAACGGACAATATCGTGTTACGGTGGAGTCGAGCCCGGGATGTGGTGGAGCCTGGGTCAGGATGTGACAATTTGGTATCAAAACCAATATCTGGCCGAAAGTGTGTCGACGAGGACTTCGGGCCTCTAAAGGGGATAGATTGTTAAATCTCACATCACCCAGGGGAGTGGATCCTCTATGCCTTATACATACATGCCCACCTCCATATAACACAAGGCATTTAGGAGCTCATTGGCTTCGGGTTCCATAGGAACTCTGAAGTTAAGCGAGAAAGAGGCCAGAGCATTCCCAGGACGTGGTCGGGATCCAAAGCGGAAAATATTGTGTTACGGTAGAGTCGAGCCCGGATCGGGATGTGACAGAAGATCATATATCTACAAAAGAATAAATTAAAATTAAGGTCATTTAAACAATCAATTGTAGTAAAAGAATAAATTAAAATTAAGGTCGTTTAAACAATCAATTGTAATAAATAGACAGACAATTTGTAATGCTTTTACCATTTCCGTCCCTAAATTTTTATACATTTCAATGACTAAACGATTTTAGTTTTAATTGTTTTTTTTTTTTGTAGAAATGATCCGTATATACTATTGTTGACCCTAGAAACTACAAAGCCTACGTGGCGCGCAGGCCGAGTAATCTATAAGCTAACTACGTCCTTCGGTGATTGCGGGGCGTGCCAACTCGTCGGCCGAGCTCGGCCGAGGAGTAAATTTGTTGATGTTGCGTTAGGTCGCGCTACTGACTTCTGCGTCTTGCGATTGCGGCCGAGAAAGGAACACGTCTCGGCCTCTTGGGCTCTCGAACCTGAAGACAAGGTTACTATTCTTACGAAGTTCAATATCAAATTCGGCTTTCAATGTGCCGAATGTAATAACTGTAACACCTCACTTTGTCGAGAAGGCTAATGAGATGACCTCGACCAATAAGGGTTCAGAGACCCTTCTCGACCGAGACTTGGATAGGTAATCAACCGTTCTCGCCGCAGTGCTGTTGATGCCAACGGAAGATATTGCGAGACCGATTGATTCTACGGTGACAGAGCTATCTATGCCAACTTAAGATATCACCGGTTGCTTCCACAGTGCTGTTGATGCCAACGGAAGATGTGTCAGCGAAAAAGGAAAAAGAAAAATCACAAGCTGTGAGAATTTGCGCAGGGCAATTTTGTATTGATTTGTAGAGAGCTTTTCCTGGTACACAGCTTCCCCTATTTATAGCACTGGACCTTAAGTCTGAGTTAGAATCCTATTCGCACTAGGTTTTCCTCCCCGGATCAACGTCACCTCGACCAGTCCTATCTTTACTAGGACTATGAATCTAGTCCTTAACTGAGCCAGATTTGCCTTCTGGATTACTGATCCCGTCGAGACTCCTCATTGTACTAGGACTCGGCTGGCGTTCTGACTTAACCGCCCTATGCTGGGAAGCCCACTAGCCGATCGGCCTCCCGGGCCGAGAGTGATCCTACCCTCAGCCCAAATTAATATTTTGGGCCCAAACATTGCCCCCTCGCTTCTGAGGTCCTCGGTCTGAATTCTTCGGCCGAGTTTCGGCCTTGAAGAAGCGAATCTATTACTCAGAGCCCTAATGCCCGAGTTCCAAGGCGTATTCATTGAACATAATTACACGATCTTGATTCTGTTAACCGAACTCGCCACGTGGCGTCCTCTAACACGACCAATCCCAATAATGACATCCAAGGCATGCGGCTGCATGAACCGTCTTGCCATTATGACCACTATCTCAATCCGCGAGCCACTTCCTCAGTTCGTGAGCCCACTTGTCATCGTGCAGGCGTCGAAACGTCTTCCGCCATTAATCTCGCCGTCACACGTAATTGTGCGCCCCCAACATCTGAAACCTTCGGTCTTTTCAACTGCATTTCCCAAATGTTCATCATGATCAACGATTCTTTCGGTCGATTTTGCCCTTTGTTTTGAATTTCAAACGATTACCCTTCCTGCCAAAAGCCTATAAATACTGAAAATCTCTCATTCGCACTTTACGCTCCCAAAAGTTTCTGAAAACTCTTGCTCTTATTCTCCAGCACATTTCTTTTTCCAGGCATTCGTCTTCAAATCCCCCAACCCAGAAAACCCTTTTACGCCGTGCTTCCTTCTTACAATGGCGTCCTTCATCTCCAAGCTTTCCAGGGAATGTGACCAGCATCAGAAGATTCTTGATCGGAGCTCGATCAAGACTATACGGTTTGAAAGTGATATGAGCACCGTCCACCAAATCTTGGGTCCTCTCTTCAAGGCTACAATACCACCGACCATTACTGGCCTTCTCCAGGAGCACTGCCTAACACCCTTGCTACAAGGGTTTGAATGGTCGAGATGGGATGCGGTGAAACCCCAAGGCTCCTGGCCCTCGACGACCACATCCTGGGCAGCCTGGGTTGTTCGAATGGAACGGCTCTTCGGCGAACAATGGAAAGCCCTCGGTATCTACGATGCCGTCCTACTCTCGTCAATGGATGTCGTTCTCGACAATGAGCTTCTCCTGGCCGCCTTGTGCTTTTGGTGCTCGGCCACCAACACCCTGGTTCTTCCTCTTGGTCCCATCGGTCCCACCATCCTTGATGTCACCGCCATTCTGGGGACTTCGGCAACCGGGATCCCTATCGACGCGGCCCTCTCTGGGCACCCGTCGAATATTGATCTGAAGACGTTTTTTGATCGACGAGCTTTCGAGGCCTTGAACCGTGACGGTCGAATCCCGTCGAAAGAAGACATTCAGAAGCTCCACAAGAACTTCTTCAATTACAACACCCTCTATCTTCACTTCGCCGGCCGAGGAGAGGAGGACCTGCGAGAGGGAGAGCATGAAGCCTTCCTCTTCTATTGGTACAACAAGTACATTTGTTGTACCAAGTCAAACAAATGCTTGGTCGAGAATATGGCGGTAGCCGAGGCCCTGGCCAGTGGTCACGTCCTAGCACTGAGCTCCAACATTCTCGCCCACCTCTTCCGCTGCCTGGCCGAGGCGACCCTCCATAAAATCGATCCACACCAGAATGGTCCCCTCTGGGTTTTCCAACTCTGGTTACAAGTTTACTTCGCCTCCCTTCGGCCGGCCATAGCTGACTTCTCACCAACGGAGGCGCTTGGACCTCAGCTGGCCTCTCGACCGACACCTCCCCATCAAGCCGAAGAGGTATTTCGGTACCTCTTCGCTCTCGACGACTTCTCCAACGACGAGTTCCTGATATGTCGTCGTCGAGACTATCCTTCCTCCATCAGGCTGCCTACCTCTACGTGGGGCGCGGAGGAGGACGCCGATCTTCGTCAGACCTGGGGGTCGTTTGTGCTTGCTCGCGACCTCCCTCTCGGCTGCGATGGGAAACGGTCGGGTTGGGAAGTATATCATCCGAACTTCCTTGCCCGACAGCTCGGCTATCTTCAGGGCTGCCCCGTCCCCCTTCTCTCCTCCCGAACAGTCCTAAGCCGTGGACGTGAACCTCGTTCCTCGGAGAAGAAATGTAAAACTGCCGCGAGGGAGTTCCAAGAGTACTGCCAAAAATTCCGCCTTCGACCGGCCACCCCAGAAACCCATTGCACTGACACCTTCGGTGAGTGGTGGGAAAATTACACCCAGGAGTTCTTTGGTGCTCCGGTCGAAGAGGTGCTGAACAAACTCTTTGGTGATCGACCTAAGAAGGCCTCGGCCCCCCAAACTCAAGGTAATTGTTCATTTCTCCTCTTTTCCTTCAACATTGCATATTGATTTGCCTTACCGAATTGTTTTTATCTTCTTAGGTAGTCGGCATTCGAGAAAAACGGAGGCTGTTGCCGCGGCCACGGTCGAGAAAAAATCGGCCGTGGTTAAAAGGGATAAGGCTGCTGGTCGGGCCGTGCTGACCAAACGACCTCGCCAAGAGGCCGAGCCGGTCGTCGAACCTCCGCCGCCTGCCAAGCGGGTAAAACAGCTGGCAAAGAAAGGCGCACGGGAGATCCACGTCATCTCCAGTCAAACTACAGAGGCAACGACTCCCAGTGTTTCCCCTTCTCCTGCCGTTGTTCAACCCTCGGTCGAGAAACAGCCCGCCCCGGCCGCAGCGACAGTTCGGACGCAGCCTATCTCTGGGACTGGTACACCAGTTGTGCCTCCCTCCATCGAGGAAACACCCGTTCCAAAAAAGGTGGTTTCTGCGACCGAGGGTACAACTCCTGGAAATCCAAAACCCTCGGTCTTCATTCTGGAAGAGAGTGAGGGGAGCGACGAGGTCCCACTGGCAGATCGTCCTCACTCTCGTCGGCAACCTCTCCCAAGGTCCAAGATGGTGGTTCAAGCCGGCCCCTCCACGGCTGATCGTGGCAAGCGCCCGGTCGAGGAACCGACGGCGGTGGCCGAACCCCTCGCTCATTCTCAGGACCAGGATGTCCCTACCTCATCCGAAACGGCGGTTCCGGTCGACCCATCTGCAGCCGACCGTGGCAAACGCCCGCTCGAGGAACCCGAGGCAACGACGGAATCGCCTGTTCATCCTCAAGACCAGGGCTTCCATATTCCTCCACAGGAGGTTACCTCGGCCTTCGTAAGTACCTTCGACCATCTTTCCTTGATTTCTCTTTTGCTTTAGAATTCTAAACGAGGAAAATAATAAATGTCAGGTGCCTGTACATTCTTTTCACCGACAATTCTATGCGCCGAAGGGCGTTATCTATATTTCTTGGCCGCCTCAGTGGCCATCAAATGTAGATAACCTCCATCGGCCGCGTGAACTGAGAAGCAACCTGAGACACTGGGCTCGGCCATTGAGTTCTTTAGGTTCGAGCAACGATCCTGGGGACATGGCCGAGGTCTCCTATCGGCAGGTTAAAAAACGAAACCTTCTTGCTATTCTTGTCATGACTTCTTTTAAACTTAACCTGATTTGTATGTGCAGGCTTCATGGGAGGTCGAATTCAAAGCCCTCATCTCCAGCACAACTGCAAAGTCCGGTCCTTCGGCTGCTACAACTGAAGCTGCCGATCCAAGCGCCCTAACCCAGTTGCGAGAAGTCCTGTCGCTTTCAACATCGCAAGTACTTGAGCGCAACGGTCTTGATCTGCTTGGCGTATGTCTGAACGACCTTGGAGCCGACGGTCGCCTGAGCGGAGATGCCATAGTTCGGGCATCGTCTGCCTTGGAGCGTGTTCGGGAGACATTTAGTATCTTCCAGACCGCTTTAAAGGCCGAACAGGATCTGCAAGCCGCCACGGCCGTGCAAGACACCCTTCGTCCGAAAATCGACGATCTACGGGCAAAATGAGAAGCGTTAGCCGAGCTCGACCGTCAGATGGCCGAACTAGCAAAACGTCGGTCAGCCATTGCTTCCGAGCTTGCCAAAGACTTCGGGTCAGGCGGCAATGATCGCTTAACTGAGTATGCGGCAACCAAAAAACGGGTCGAGCGGCTGAAGTTGGACAAAAAGAATCGGCAGGCCGAAGTTATCATGGCCGACGTGCGGTGGTTGGAGTTGAAGGCCCTGCTCAGCACTCTTCTACCCTCTTCTCCTTGAATGATTTTGAATGTAAAGCGATCGACCTACTCATTTTGTAAATGCTTGTCAATCTTAATAGACTGTTTTTTTTTTATTCCCGCATTTCCCATGTGGCCGGATAGTATTTCTTCAAAAACTTCCCATTGATCGGTAATCTGTGAACTACACCGGTTCGGTCTTTAAGATGATACGCCCATTTGCCGTATACTTTATGCACAACGAACGGCCCTTCCCAATTCGGCGACCACTTGCCGAACCTAGGATCTTTTAGTCCTACGGGCAACACCGTTTGCCACACTAATTCACCCTCGCCGAATGTTTTCTGTCGTACCTTTTGATTATAAGCTCGCTCGGCAATCTGTTTTTGTGCCACCAATAAGTTATAAGTGTCAAGTCGCGCTTCTTCCAAATCTTCTAGTTCCTGTCTCATGGACTGATTATATTCGGCGTTAAACAAACTACTTTGTTCAATTAATCGCAACGAATTTATGCTCAACTCGACTGGTAACACTGCATCGTGTCCGTAGGTTAATGCGTACGGGGTTGTCGCAGTCGCCGACCGGGGCGACGTTCGGTATGCCCATAATGCCTCGTTCAACTTCAAATGCCACATGCCAGGCCTTTCTTTTATTATTTTTTCGAGGATGCCGATCAGCACTTTATTACTTGCCTCGGCCTGCCCATTTGCCTGTGGATAATACGGTGTGGACTGTTCCAGCCGAATTTTCAAATTTGCCGTGTATTCTTTAAACCTTTCAGCTGTGAAGATTGTTCCATTGTCGGTTATGATCGTTTCTGGTACACCGAACCGGGTCACAATGTGTTCCTCCACGAAGTCGCAAACTTCTTTAGATGTTAACTCGGCATATGATTTTGCTTCGACCCACTTAGTAAAATAATCAGTGGCGACTATTATCCATGCATGCTTAGCAGCTCCAGAGGTCGGCGTGATTTTGCCGATTACGTCTATGGCCCATCCTCTAAACGGCCACGGCTTAATGACCGAATGTAGTGATTCGGCCGGGACCCTTTGTATAGGCCCATGGATTTGGCACTGTACGCATCCTCGTGCAAACTCGATACAATCTTTCAGTATTCTCGGCCAAAAATAACCGTGTCGTCGGAGTAGCCATCGCATTTTCCGTCCGGATTGATGAGCTCCGCATACCCCATCATGAACCTCTGCGATCGCCCGAGCATTATCTTGGGGGCCGAGGCATAGCAATAACAAACCATCTTCACCCTTTCGGTATAACTCGTTCTGGTACATGACATAGTTCGTGGCGTGAACCCGTGTCCTGCGACTATGTTTCCCGGTAGGATTGTCAAGGTACTGCATAATGGGTGTTCTCCAATCATCCGGTATCACCTCGATCGTGCAAATCTCGACAGAGTCCTACCGATCTAACAACGAAGGTAAGGACATAACCCTGGTGCGTATCACGTCGTCCCGTCGGAGGATTTGCTGATTAACCAAGGCCGGGTATAACTGTCGTATCACTGGTATCTCTTGGCCTAGTTTGCCCCCCAGGAGTTGTGCGCCGGAGGCAATTTGAGCCAATTCATCCGCGTCGGTATTATGACACCGGGAAATATGTTGAAATGTAATACCGTCGAAGGATTCGGCCAAATAGCTGGCGACCATATGGTAAGGTGCCAGGGTACAACTCATGCAACGAAAGGAACCATTAAGTTGGTTAATCACAAGCTCGGAGTCACCGAGGACGAGGGCGCGAGTTGCCCGCAGGTCATGGAGAATTCCAAGGCCGACGATAAGGGCTTCATATTCGGCCTGATTGTTGGTGCAGTCGAAGTCCAACTTAAGCGAAAAGAACCAGCGATCGTGATTCGGGGATTGAATAACAATTCCCACACCCGCCGAAGATGACGTACTGGAGCCGTCAAAGTACATCGTCCAGTGGTTGTCGCGCGTCTGAACCATGCCAATGTCAACGTCGTTGCCCCCAAAACCGTATGGGGAGGGTTGTTGAGCAAGGAAATCAGCCAATGCTTGGCCCTTGACGACTTTCTGAGCTACATATTGCAAGCTAAACTCGGACAGTGCCATGGTCCATTTCCCAATGCGGCCTTTTACGATCGGTCGGGTGAGCATGTAGCGGATGACGTCGGTCTGCGCAATAACCTGGGTAACCGATGAGAGCATATAATGCCGAAGCTTAGAAGCGGCAAAAAAAACGGCTGGGCACAGCTTCTCGACGGCTGGATAATTGATCTCTGGTTGACTGAGATTGCGGCTGAGATAAAAGATAGCCTGTTCCCGTCCGGCGTCGTTATCTTGCACGAGGAGGCAGCCGATGGACTCTTCGGCCGCCGAGATATAAAGCTTGAGAGGCTTACCGCGCCGGGGTGGAACCAAGACAGGTGGGTTCGTGAGGGAGACTTTGATTTGCGTAAACGCCGCCTGATACTCGTCGTTCCACACAAACTTATCTAAGTCCTTGAGTTTTAAGAGTGTGGAAAACGCTTTCATTTTTCCTGCCGAGTTGGCAATAAATCGGCGGAGGAAATTGATCTGTCCGAGTAAAGACTGGAGTTGTTTCTTCGTCGTTGGGGGTGGGGCAGTGATGATTGCGCGTGCCTTATTCTCATCGACTTCAATCCCACGATGATGTACGAGGAAACCAAGAAAATTCCCGGCTGATACACTGAAGGCACACTTGGCAGGATTCATCTTGAGGTTGTGCTGACGCATGCGGAGGAAAGCCTGTCGGAGATCGTCCAGATGTGTCTGTCGGCGTTTAGATTTGACGACAACATTGTCGATGTAAACTTCGACGATGGTGCCAATTAAATCATGGAAGATGGTGTTCATCGCCCGTTGGTACGTGGCGCCGGCATTCTTGAGGCCGAATGGCATGACAACCCATTCGTAAGTGCCGAGTGCCCCTGGGCAACGGAAAGCAGTTTTGTGCACATCGGCTTCGGTAATAAATATTTGGTTGTACCCGGCATGTCCATCCATAAAGGATAAGATCGCATAATTCGCCGCGGCATCGATTAACAAATCTGAAATCGGCATTGTATACTCATCTTTGGGAGTTGCCAGATTCAGATTTCGAAAATCGGTGCAGATGCGCAGTGCACCATTTTTCTTTAATACAGGAACGATATTCGCCAACCATTCGACATATCGAGCTGTCCGAATGAATCCGACTTTCAAAAGCCGAACTAATTCGTCCTTGATACTGAGTTGTACTTCGGTCGAGAATCGACGAGGTGGCTGACGGAAAGGTTTAAATTCGGGCTTAATACGTAATTCATGCTCGACCAGAGTACGATCTAAGCCGGGCATTTCATGATAACTCCAAGCAAAACAATCTTTGAATTCCGTAAGCAAAGCACGAAACTCGTCTTTCATTCGTTGGGGAAGTAAAGCACTAATAAACAAAAGCCGTGGGTCATCGGCCGTCCCAACATTAATCTCTTCTAAAGGGTCCTTAACTAGGGGCCGATGATCTTCGAGCTCGGTCGGGGCGGCTCGAATGTTATCAAAAGATAATACAGGCCCATTATCTCCCTCAGCAAGGAACTCGACGAGGTTGACGCCCGAATTTGGTTGTTTAGATATCGTATACCAATGGGCCAGCAGTCGTTCCATAGTTGATGAAACCGCGGCCTTGCGTGTTTCCCGATCGGTGTCACACATCGACTTCGGGGATGAAGTTGGCTAATCCGAGTCTCGCCGAATCCTGCTGGACAGTCTCGGCGCCAACCTCGATAGCTTTCTGAACGGAAATCTGAGTCGGCCGTCCTTCTTCATTGAAGCCTTGCAAAGTAATGTAGCCGACGTGATCGTCATAATACCGTGCTTGGATCATGTTAGCTTCGAAGGGCTGGCTATCGGCCGGATGAACAGTGATCGATTTGCCGTCCCAAAAGACGAGCACTTGGTACAATGAGAAAGGAATACAGCTGGTTTGATGAATCCAATCTCGGCCGAGCAGTGCATTATACTCGGTTTTGGAATCAACCACGAAAAAGGCGGTCATGTGGGTGCGACCGGTAATATTCACAGTTAACGGAAGTACACCTTTAGTGTGGGATTTGTCACCGACAAAACTACTCATTGTGATTCCTGACGGAATAAGCTCGTCATTTGAACGGCGTAAGGCCTTCATGATGTTCAGAGGCATGATATTGACGGTAGCTCCACAGTCGACAAAAACTTTAGAAACTGGATATCCCTCGATGTGGGCCGTCACATACAATGGCTTTAAATGGTGAAGCTTGGCCGACGATGAACGAAGGAACAATTCGGCCATAGCGGCCTTTAGACTATCATCTTTTGTTGTTGACTCGCTTTCAACAATCGATACAAAATCAACATGGCCGGGTTCCTCGGCAACCACATCTCCATCGAGGAAATTTGGTTGAGCCGTGCTTGATTGAAAATCGGCAGGTAACACATGGACCATATTGATTTCCATATTGTCTAGGACTGACGGGCCCATCTGGTCAAGACCTTCCTCATTCGGTTGGTCGGCGACTACGGACTCAGTTGTCGTCAGAGTCGGACAACGAGACTCTTCTGTCCCTTCTTTAATGACGTCACTCAGCGGAGCCGCTTCGGCGACTTGTTGGTTCTGCGTGACCGCCTCAGGTAAGGTTGAGATTGACAATGTACTTGGGGTCAGGACCTGAACCTGCTCCTGGTAGTGTAGCCGAGCATCCCTAGTGTCGAGATAAGCATCCAGACGGGCAATACGTACGATTTCATCGGTAGTAAGGCCGAAGAGAGAAACTGCCGA